ACACACACTTATACACATACTTTAAATGTGATTAAATAATCCAGTGTTTTTTTTTATTTTACTATTTTTTACCCACTGATCGCAGCAAATATAGCTGCCATTGTTCCAGGCAAAGAAAGGATAGAGTAGCTCGGCCCGATGCGCATCAGACCCACAGCTAGAGATTCTTCAGCCACGCGTCAGAACTAACCTTCTACAATCTCTTGCTGCTTTAGATGTAAACGTAGCATAACAGTGGCTAGCTTCCAGCAATGGTGTTCTGTACGAACATTGGGGGGGGGGGTCGATTAATGTTTCAGGGTACAGACACATGGGGGGGGAGGGACAAGCAGACGACCATGATTGACGTGTCAGGAACCAATTGTGTACAATTGTGTCTTTTGTGATTGGTTGGGGTTATTCATTGATTTCTCACTGTAGTTGGGACCATTTATTTTAGTTTCACTTCCAGACCTTCTATTTCACTGCTGTGAAGCGGCTGTGGGGAGATCTTTAAGCCACATGCTAAAAATGCGTCAGAAAAGATCTCCTACTGCACCTTTAAAAGTCAGTAGTGAGCTGCGCTGCCTTTCCACAGGGGGGCAGCAGAATCCCCTCGCTTTAACTCCAGCCTGTTTTTCCAAAGAAGAAGAATCAAAGTGAAATCTGCACTGATCCACATTCAGCCTGACTGCAGGGAAAGTCAGCATGCTCCGCGCCGTGCTCTCCCCGCTGCTTCCCCGCCTGATCCGGCCGCCTGCCCGCCTCTATGGAACCGCCGTTCCTGTTCCGAGCACCCAGCCGGAGGTCCATTATAACAAGGTAAAGTCAGCAGCTGCTGGACGCTGCGAAACTCACAAACAGAGGCGCAATAATGAATGCAACTCAATAAGGAGTTAATGCTCAGCAGGAAACTGACTTTTATCTGACTTGGGTTATTTCTGAGGAAGCTCGTTGAGCGGAGAGGTTGAAGGTTCAAAGTCCAGCTCTAAGATCACCTGTTGGTGGAAAAGGTGGGCGTTTCCCCCAGCAGGTGGCGGTAGAGCTGAAAGCTCACTGCTGATAAATACACAGGTGATCATGTTCAGGTATTCAGGACACTGCTGATCAGGACACGGTTGATAAGGTACAGGTGATCAGGACACAGGTGATCATGTCCAGGTGATCAGGACACTGCGGATCAGGTGATCAGGTTCAGGTGATCAGGTTCAGGTGATCATGTTCAGGTGATTGGCTCAGAGTCAGGATTACTGAGTCACGTTAGGTTGATACAAACATGACACCATAAAATGGAAAGAAGGAAGAGTTTGTAGCTGTTTACGTTTATAACATGAGAGGAAGGTGGTTAGTTTAGTGTTTTTCATATAATTTAATAGCACCGTAGGGGGCGGAGCTTCAGTCAGCATAAAATATAAGTGATGGTACTCAGTCATCGAGGTCATTCCGAAAAAGAAAATGAAAAACAATCCACTGGACTTTGTTTCCAAGTTTGAAGACATTTCTCTTCCCATCCAGGAAGCTTTTCAATTCATAATGTCAGAAATAGCGTTGAGTTTCAGGCTTTATACCTATATAAGGAAACCCCACCTTAAACAGAGGAGGTGGACTCAGATTTCAGGTTTAAAAAACGTACAATGCAGCAACTGAGTTCATCCCTTCCTGCT